AATAATACATATATAATAATATTATAGGAAGGATAATATACAAATAAATATATATAAATGTTTTTGATCATAATATAAATACATATTTTTAATATTTTTATAATAATAATTTTATATGAATGAATATTTTTGAATAATGTTTTTGTTATTAATAATACATATATAATAATATTATAGGAAGGATAATATACAAATAAATATATATAAATGTTTTTGATCATAATATAAATACATATTTTATAATATTTTTATAATAATAATTATATATGAATGAACACTTTTTAATGATGTTTTTGTAATTAATAATACATATATAATAATATTATAGGAAGGATAATATGCAAATAAATATTGACAGGTTTTTTTGATCATAATATAAATACATAGTTTAAAGTTTTTTTTATAATAATAATTATATATGAATGAACACTTTTTAGTAATGTTTTTGTAATTAATAATACAAATATAATAATATTATAGAAACGATAATATGCAAATAAATATTGACAGGTTTTTTTGATCATAATATAAATACATAGTTTTAAGTTTTTTTATAATTATAATTTTATATGAATGAACACTTTTTAATAATGTTTTTGTTATGAATAATACATATATAATAATATTATAGGAAGGATAATATACAAATAAATATATATATAAATGTTTTTGATCATAATATAAATACATATTTTATAATAATTTTATAATAATAATAATATATGAATGAACACTTTTTAATAATGTTTTTGTTATTAATAATACATATATAATAATATTATAGGAAGGATAATATACAAATAAATATATAAAAATGTTTTTGATCATAATATAAATACATATTTTATAATATTTTTATAATAATAATTATATATGAATGAACACTTTTTAATAATGTTTTTGTTATTAATAATACATATATAATAATATTATAGGAAGGATAATATGCAAATAAATATTCACAGGTTTTTTTATCATAATATAAATACATATTTTAAAGTTTTTTATAATAATAATTATATATGAATGAACACTTTTTAGTAATGTTTTTGTAATTAATAATACAAATATAATAATATTATAGAAACGATAATATGCAAATAAATATTGACAGGTTTTTTTGATCATAATATAAATACATAGTTTTAAGTTTTTTTATAATTATAATTTTATATGAATGAACACTTTTTAATAATGTTTTTGTTATGAATAATACATATATAATAATATTATAGGAAGGATAATATACAAATAAATATATATAAATGTTTTTGATCATAATATAAATACATATTTTATAATAATTTTATAATAATAATAATATATGAATGAACACTTTTTAATAATGTTTTTGTTATTAATAATACATATATAATAATATTATAGGAAGGATAATATACAAATAAATATATAAAAATGTTTTTGATCATAATATAAATACATATTTTATAATATTTTTATAATAATAATTATATATGAATGAACACTTTTTAATAATGTTTTTGTTATTAATAATACATATATAATAATATTATAGGAAGGATAATATGCAAATAAATATTCACAGGTTTTTTTATCATAATATAAATACATATTTTAAAGTTTTTTATAATAATAATAATGTATGAATGAACACTTTTTAGTAATGTTTTTGTAATTAATAATACAAATATAATAATATTATAGAAACGATAATATGCAAATAAATATTGACAGGTTTTTTTTATCATAATATAAATACATATTTTAAAGTTTTTTATAATAATAATTATATATGAATGAACACTTTTTAGTAATGTTTTTGTAATTAATAATACAAATATAATAATATTATAGAAACGATAATATGAAAATAAATATTGACAGGTTTTTTTGATCATAATATAAATACATAGTTTAAAGTTTTTTTATAATTATAATTATATATGAATGAACACTTTTTAATAATGTTTTTGTTATGAATAATACATATATAATAATATTATAGGAAAGATAATATACAAATAAATATATAAAAATGTTTTTGATCATAATATAAATACATATTTTATAATATTTTTATAATTATAATTATATATGAATGAACACTTTTTAATAATGTTTTTAATAATAATAATACATATATATTAATATTATAGTAAGGATAATATGCAATTAAATATTGAAAGGTTTTTTTTTATCATAATATAAATACATATTTTATAATTTTTATATAAAAATAATTATATATGAATGAACACTTTTTAATGATGTTTTTGTTATTAATAATACATATATAATAATATTATAGGAAGGATAATATACAAATAAATATATATAAATGTTTTTGATTATAATATAAATACATATTTTATAATATTTTTATAATAATAATTATATATGAATAAACACTTTTGAATAATGTTTTTGTTATTAATAATACATATATAATAATATTATAGGAAGGATAATATACAAATAAATATATATAAATGTTTTTGATCATAATATAAATACATATTTTATAATATTTTTATAATAATAATTATATATGAATGAACACTTTTTAATAATGTTTTTGTTATTAATAATACATATATAATAATATTATAGGAAGGATAATATGCAAATAAATATTCACAGGTTTTTTTGATCATAATATAAATACATAGTTTAAAGTTTTTTTATAATAATAATTATATATGAATGAACACTTTTTAGTAATTTTTTTGTAATTAATAATACAAATATAATAATATTATAGAAACGATAATATGCAAATAAATATTGACAGGTTTTTTTGATCATAATATAAATACATAGTTTAAAGTTTTTTTATAATTATAATTATATATGAATGAACACTTTTTAATAATGTTTTTGTTATGAATAATACATATATAATAATATTATAGGAAGGATACTATACAAATAAATATATATAAATGTTTTTGATCATAATATAAATACATATTTTATAATATTTTTATAATAATAATAATATTTGAATGAACACTTTTTAATAATGTTTTTGTTATGAATAATACATATATAATAATATTATAGGAAGGATAATATACAAATAAATATATATAAATGTTTTTGATCATAATATAAATACATATTTTATAATATTTTTATAATAATAATTATATATGAATGAACACTTTTTAATAATGTTTTTGTTATTAATAATACATATATAATAATATTATTGGAAGGATAATATACAAATAAATATATATAAATGTTTTTGATCATAATATAAATACATATTTTATAATATTTTTATAATTATAATTATATATGAATGAACACTTTTTAATAATGTTTTTAATAATAATAATACATATATATTAATATTATAGTAAGGATAATATGCAATTAAATATTGACAGGTTTTTTTTATCATAATATAAATACATATTTTAAAATTTTTATATAAAAATAATTATATATGAATGAACACTTTTTAATGATGTTTTTGTTATTAATAATACATATATAATAATATTATAGGAAGGATAATATACAAATAAATATATATAAATGTTTTTGATCATAATATAAATACATATTTTTAATATTTTTATAATAATAATTTTATATGAATGAATATTTTTGAATAATGTTTTTGTTATTAATAATACATATATAATAATATTATAGGAAGGATAATATACAAATAAATATATATAAATGTTTTTGATCATAATATAAATACATATTTTATAATATTTTTATAATAATAATTATATATGAATGAACACTTTTTAATGATGTTTTTGTAATTAATAATTTACAAATTTATATACTAAGATACTAAATATATATACTAAGACAAACATAGTGGTCAATAAAGATAAACATTTTTACAGAATTTCAATGCTGTAACTCAAACGGTTAAGGAGTTATGAATGTTTTTGTAAAAATCACATACAGACAGATAGACCTAAAACGGAATGACATAGGACACGTTATACTACATCTTTTGTTTCTTTTGACCTGCTGAGTAACGTGACAAAGTTTGTTCATAAGGTTGCAAGACACCATGTATAGGTCTAAATATGTATATATAATGGTTTTTACAGGCAGAGAAATTAGCTTCCAACAGTTGGAAGGCCTTTCGTAAAGGCGGTTTGCGACTGCCATTACAAAGGTCCCACCACCCCCTACCTCCATACCCTATTGCATACCCCCTGATTTAAGGCCCCGTTCTAGCTGGGTGACCATTGGGATGCATGCCACACACAATATACGCGACGTACCTGATGAACGTGTCTACCGGGCCTATTCGGTAAATTTGCCCTGGATGAAGGCTGTAATTAAACCTATTGTTTAATTGTGATCAAATAAACATACTGGATTTGTTTTGAGAAATCTATCCCGAATCATCTTTATAAGCCTGTACACATCATGTAAATTTGAAATCTATATAAATAATTTAAACTAAAAACTAAATGTAGCCTTCATGAACAGTGGTGATTAATGCATAAGAATTATTCAGATTGACAGAGAAATATTGCTTCATAACCAAATTGTTAGATGATGACTAAGGGATTGTTGTTAAAGGAATACAATTTTCAACAGTAGAGTAAATGCTCAAGGTAAAGGGGGCATTGTAGTAGTAGGTACCACACATAAACCTCGCTGCCACTCCACATATTTTGTTTAGCTTTTGTATCTTTTCTTTAGAGAGAGAGTTGATTATCTACAACGTCATATGTCCAAAACGTCAGTGATTTGCCGCCATCATTTTTAAATTCTCACAGTGTGCAGAGTATTGAGCAATTCGCCCACCTTTGCTTATCATAATTACTTAAACAATTTGATGACTCCTCGCCTCTGGCTCTTTAATTAGTTTGGATAATTGACTCTTAGAAGTAAAATGTCCTCGTTACACTATCTTGTGAGTCAATTTGGATGGTTTTTTAGTCACCCAAGCTAATGAGATTAAACTGTAGGCTTAACTGTTTAGCTTGCTAAAAAAATGATCAGTATTGGTATGTTTACAGATGGTTTTGGTTGGCGAGGCAGAGGACGCGGAAGTTTTTCATCTTATGAAAATACCCTCAATCAAAGCGACAAGCTGCAGAATAAGATTGAAAGACACCCTCCTGGTTAGTTCTTTGTAATGTTTAATGCAATTGTATCTAGCCTAATTTTACCTAACACTAACTATTGGAAACAAACTTAGTAAAAGGTACTTACGAGGAAGGCATTTTTTAATTATATAAATAAATATGGAGCAATACTATATAATTTATAATTTCTTAACTGTTGTAAATGATTAAGACCAGACACTGAAGAAAATGCACAAAAGTTATGACCTGACTTTGGCTAGCCATGTGAAGATATTATCACATTTAGTCTTAATTTTTAGACGAGTCACATGTGAGCATTTAACGATGAGGTAGGCCTAGTCTTTTTACCAACCCACTGGTGCTTGAGTAATTTGCTGAATCTAATCTGCGAGGGCTAGTGTAGATGTGAGCTCATAGTTTCACTCATTCCGGTCGGCTGATGGTGGCATGGTAGCTCAGTTAGCTAAGGTGTTTCACCTTAGTGAAGTAGTGTTGAGTTCTTTCTACATGCATGGATTTGAATCCATTACATGTGCAATCCATATTAAGCTTACTAATGTGTTGTGAACAGTCCAGCTTGAATAAACGTTGTCCAGCTTGGGTGGAAGTTGATGGGATTAGTGAGTTTTAAACATTGACTATTGGTTTTAAAGGGATTGCACGCAACACCTGTTTTGCTTCTTTTTTAGTATTGAAGAGGAGAAAGTGGATTTTTCTGTTCTGTTAAAACACATAAATGCTAAAAGACAAACATGACATAGCCTAAAAAAATTAATTAATAGAAAAATAAAATACAAAAGAATATTTCTGTGGCAATGGAATAAATCTTTTTTTGTGACAAAATGTTTCTTTGACTATTTTGACGGTCCTATGAGATTTAGAAGCTGAACAAGAGAGCTCTGAAACTATTCATCTAATAAAAAATAATAGATTGCTGATTACAAGAATCAAGAATCAATCAAGAATCAAGAATTTATTTGCCATTAGATAACACAGTTACAATAGGCTTCGTCAACATATAATTTTTGTATAGAAAGTCAAAGTAAACATTAAAGTCAACATTAAAATACATGATTTAAAAATTCCTCAGTTGAATAAAATGCCTTATCTTTAAGCAACTTACAAATAGTGGTACAAAATTTCTTAAATGGTAACATTTTTATATCTAAAGGCAATTTGTTGTAAAATAATATCTGATGGTAACTATGACTATTGAAATATTTTTGCAATCTAATACTAGGCCTAGCTATGTGGTCTCTTTGCCTAGTGTTATAGGAATGGACAGATGAGTTTGTATTAAACTTTTCAATATTCTTCTTGACAAAACAAAGATTGTGAAAGATACACAAACTAGGGAGAGTAAGTATACCAAGATTAGGGAAAAGGTTACGGCATGAGGCCTCTGCATCTAAACCAAACATTGCTCTTATAGCCTTTTTTGCCAAACAAAGGCGGTTTTGGCAGCAGCTGAATTTCCCCATAATCTGACACCATAGTTGAGATGGGTGTGAAAAAGACCATAATATATCATAATAATTACTTCTGAGCACACATAAGACCTTAACTTTCTTAACAAACAAGTGACACGTGACAATTTTTTACATAGATTATTTACATGTTCCTCCCAACACAGCTTACTGTCTAAATAAATACCAAGAAGTTTTACAGGTTTTAATAAATAATTATCATCTAATACTAGATTTAGCTGACTGCTTAAAGTAAATACAATGTGTTCTGTTTTACTTTCATTAACATTTAATTTGTTTGCTAAAAATCATGATTTTGATTCCTCCATAGCTATTTGTAGTCTGTGTTGAACAGTGAAAAAATCTACATCAGAATGTATCAGGGTGGTGTCATCCGCATACAAAACAGACATCACAGAAACATTTGAACTGTAGTCATTAATAAAAACTAAAAATAAAAAAGGGCCTAGGACAGAGCCTTGCGGCACTCCGACTGTAACTTGTAAGAAATCAGAATCATTATTATTACAACTAACCATTTGCTTTCTATTGCTTAAATAACTTTGGATCAAATTCAACTCTTTATCAACAATACCATAATGCTTTAGCTTATTACACAGAATATTACGCGAGACTGTATCAAAAGCTTTGCTTAGATCCACTAAAAAAGAACTTACTACTTGTTTTTTCTCAAAACCATTTAAAACAAAATCCACAATCCTTTCAATCACATCTGTTGTTGAAAGGTTAGGTCTAAAACCAAATTGAGAAGGATAAAAGAGGCTGTTACTGACAAAATACTCATTAAGTTGGGTTACAATGCAAGTCTCAATAATCTTGCTCAATATGGGAACAATCGCTACTGGCCTATAGTTCTCTGGTTGGTTTACATCGCCCTTCTTATAAACAGGTATTACTTTGGTAGCTTTCAAGCAATCAGGAAAACATCCAGTGGCAAGAATTGAATTTACAATAAAAGTCAAAGGCTGCAATATTACATCAACAATGTTCCTCAACAAAAAGTTTGACATTCCATAGACATCTTCTGAACGAGAATTGCTCAGTTTACTAACCACAGACAATATTGTTTGTTCGTCAACTAGTTTTAGATTAAAATTACTATTACTAGAATCTGTTTTCCTAACACAATTCTTCAAATAATCTGAGTAGTCAAGGTTACTCACATCAAGACTATTGTTTTGCTCTGTAGAAGAATGACTAGATACATTAACAAAATATTCATTAAGTTGCTTAGATGTAATAGGAATCATAACATTTGAGTTTATTTCAAGGTTCCCTTCTTTTTTAGTGACTGCCCAAGCAGCTTTACACTGGTTTTTGGAACTAGCTATAAACTTACTGTTAGCTGCAATTTTGGCCTTGGTAATCTCTTTTCTGTACTGGTTTCTAAAATTTTTAAGACTCAATTTATCCTCCAAACTTTTAGAAATCTTCCATCTGTCATTCATAAGCAGTAGGAGTCTATGCATATTACTCAATTCAGGAGTAAACCAGTTTATAACCTTAGCCTTGCTCTTAGGACTAACAGAGATCTTAGGACAACTAATGTTTAAATAAAAAGAGAAAATATTAAAAAAGACATTCACTGAGCTATTAACTTCATTAGTGTATACTCTACCCAGTATTGCCAGATTTGCCGGCAAAAATTATCGTACAAGCAGTCCAAAATTATCGTTTTTGGGGCAAAATTATCGTACACACAATTTTCTTTTATAATAATATTATTATAATGTAAAACAAGCAAGTCGATGATGGAATGGCCGAAATTTTACTCTATTTGTCTCTGCCGCCCACCGTTTTTGCTCTACCAGCCTACCACTGAGCTAGAAAAATGAAAAATATAAATTCAACCGGAGGCAGCACACTATCACACACACACGCGGAATCTGCATCTCTGCTAGAAAAAAAATGAAACGCTGTAAAATGGTGGTATTTTGGTTCTCAACTACAACTGGAAAAATCAACCAGCTCATTGCTTTACTTCATTCCCCTGGGATGCCAATGTACTGAGAACAATAATTAATTGAAGGTACAACGTAATCTACCCCTAGTACAAATGGCGGTCAACTTCTCTCAAAATTCTCCTATAAACACTTAAGTTGGTAGCCAATGGGCCCTTTCTAACACAGCTGATGCCTTTGCAAGGTTGCCAGATCGAACAGCAACGAAGTGATGTTACAGTTTTTCCATATATTAAAAGTGGGAAACGTGTTTAAATGTATAATAATCAATATGAAATAGTTTATTTTCCAGCCCCCAAAAAATAATCGTACATTATGACAAAAAATCGTACACAACGTCAAAATTATCGTACAATTTTTCAAAATTATTTTTTATGGGGAAGGAGCAAAATAATCGTACAAATACGATAATTATCGTACACCTGGCAACACTGACTCTACCCCACTCAGCATCCACCAGAAATTGCTTGAGACAGTTAATTTTACCCTCAGAAAGAAATCGGCATTTTTTAATTTTATTCTCACCTGATTTTTTAAAATCTTTTATACTCAGGTCAGTGCTGAAACTAAAGGTAGTCCATACACCTGCATGGTCAGATAGAATATACTGATCCAACAATCTAACCTCCACCTGGTCAGACATGACATTAGAGGCTACAACATCAAGACATGAATTGAACCTGGTGAATTCTTCATGAACAAAATATAAATCAAAAGATCTTAAGATATAACTTAATTCTAGGGTTTCATTGTCATGGGATTTGAGAATATCAACATTCAGGTCACCTGCAAGAATTACATATCTAAAAGGCTTAGGACTAGCAGTGATAAAAGGCATGACAAAAGGTGTATAACTTGATATTATAGTCATTGTTTCAATCCCAGCGGCAAAAATGAATTAATAATTTCGGTTGGTTACACGGACAATAACGCTTGAACAGCAAGTTCAAGTTTATCATTGTAGATCACAGACAGAGACGTTAGAATTTCAAGAGGAGTCAGTTGTGAGAAGGTCGGATATGAGACTGAGAGTTTCTACTGTAATTGCATTTTCAAAGCATAATTTCAGTAGCACTTATAAGAAAAATATTATTTTATGTCCCTAAAATAGGCACTCAAGCCTAGACAAATAATAATTTGGGCTCGGCGTAAAGAAAAATTCCATACACCTAGTAAGGTAACCTTATTAAAGTAATGGTGGTAACAGATTTTTAGTATGTGTAAAGGCATCAGGCGTGAAGAGTTAAATACAATTTGTTTTCAGATACCAGCCAAGAAATTGAAGAGAAGCAACCAATCTTCACTCCGCAGCCCCAGTTAGATTACCACTCAACGAACTTTCTGACAAACCTGAGATCAGTTTGGAGCTTATGTATGTTTTCTTTATTGATAAAAAACTCAAATTTTGAACAAAAAACCTTATAAAAATGAAAATTTAAATGTGTGAATACACTGTACTACTCAAACCCCTAAGAGCTGAACCCCTCAAGAGATGAACATCCAGTTTGAAAAGTTTTAGTGATGTTAATTATAAGGAACTAAAAATAAGGCCTTTGTAGGAACCCTCGTACGATTACTTTAAAATCTTGTAGTTAGAATTTCTTTTGATGCACAATTGTGTATATTGTTTTCATTACTCACTTCTTATTTAGATAGAATTAATTATTTATCAAAATATCTATGTTAAATGTAATCTCTGATGTAAAATTTTCCTTATTTGATTTGCTAGTTGATTGTGAGTTTCCAATGCTATTTGCCGATCGGTTCCCTCTTCTTCTCAGTCTTCTTTTGACTTCTTTGTTCAGAAGCACTCTAACCTGCGATGATGTAATATGTGAGTTGAACATGTAACGTAAATGTTGGGCTTTAATCCATTTGATTGCTCAATACCTACCATTGATTGTTATTATGTTTGGGGTGCATGAGTTTTTGTTTGAATGAACATTCATTGTTAAAGATAAAAGATATCATTTTAAATATTATGTAAATTACTCGATACCACATAGATAATTTCCATCATGTAATTTGCCAAACAAAGCTCATTACATTTACTTGCATGGTCATTACTTGCTAGGTAGCAACTCTGTCTTGTTTGTGCAAGACAAACTTGTTTGTGCATTTGATTATTGGGTGCAATTGTGTCAACTTTCTTTATCGGCCTCTTACAACTATTGAGCTGTCTGTTTATTGAAAATAATTAATATATTAGAATAAAAGGGTAGCAGATAACTTAGGCCTACCTTAGAAAAAATACAGGTAGGTCACAGTACCCACAGAAAACAAACAATTTTCTACACTCTGTGAGACTCTGTCATGGTAGTTTAGTCCAATTCTCTTTTTCTTAACTTGTCAAAATCATCCAAGGGACAAACTATTGTGTTTCCTTTCTGTGTACTATGCCCTACCTGCATACCTGTGATTCTAAAATCACAACACAAACCTGGCCTAGTGCCTTTCCTTAAACAAAACCAATTAATAACAATACCTAGTTCTTAAATTGTAAGAAATTTTCTCAATCCTCTTGATTTTAATAATGTCTTCATTAGTTCTTAAAACTCCTTGTTACATGCTAGGTTCTTTTTTTATTTGAGACTGTGTTGAAAATGACAAATGCATTCTTACAAACCCCACATTTTTTCAGGGAAGAAGAGTGAAAATGTCTCAAGAATGCTGCAGGAATATTTTCTATCAGTTGAAAATCCCTACGATTCAGCCTTCAAAGTTGCTGTTACCTGCCCTGACTTTTATCAGGGGAAACCTATGTCTTTACCTTTAGCAGGTACTTACTTGTATGGTTTGTTTGCCCCTCTGAATCACTGTATGGTATTACACTGGTGTAAATTATATTTACCACAGTAGTTCTGTTAAAATGTCATCAGTCATCAATAAACTACCATGATCATCATCAGACAAGGTTGTAGTGATATATAACTACTAACATTGGAAATACATACCACAAATGTAACTTGGAAACAATAAACCTCAATTCATTTTATACCCAAATCCAGTGGAGTAGGCTTTGTGATAGAATTGCAATACATTACAACCTAAAGTCTTGCATGATGAGGATTCTGTGATGGATTAAACCAGTCACCCTTCAAAGGAACATGGAACTCGACTAAACATAATTTATAGTAGGAATCAAAAATAAAGTCCCATTTCTGCAGGTAGAGTAGACCCGTCCTAATCCTGCTTGTCAAAACAACGCTATTGTTGGGAGTTCGGCAATGCAGGCGGGCCGGGAATACCGCCTTCCCCTCACTGTTCCTAGAAGAAATTCCGTGTTCTACTACATTTTGCATAAATTGAACCATAAGACTTGAAGCATCATGTGAAGACTCATTTTGTTCCTCTGAGAAAGAGGAATAAAAACAATTTTAAGGTAACGCTCTACGATTTCCCGTTATAAGGAAAAATGTAAAAATAGAAATAAGCTGATTAATAAACAAGTAAATTTCGACTCCAGTTGTACTTATAAAAATATATTGGCCGGTGCTTCCGGTAGGCAATAGGATATAAGTAGGGACGCCATTCAAGATTCTTGTCATTCGCCTATTGGGTCTGATGATGATTGGAGTGTCCAATCGAAATCGATCACCACTTACCATCTTTTTCGTATATTTACCGTCTTGTGAGTATCAGTATAAGCGTAAATATATGTTTTAAGTGTTATAAGACGTTTCTTTTATTTAATTTCCGTAACTATTCTTACTCAATCGAAGGTATTTTTTGTTATGTCGTTACACATATAATTTAGAACTCTTAGTGTCTTTTTAATGAGAATATACAATCATTAACGATCATAACATATTTTGAAGTAAATGTAACTGTTAGGTGGGGTAGGCTAATGTTTCTCGTGATTTGGTAATTTAGTAAGGTGGAATTTGAAACTATGACAATAATTCTGAGCAAAGCTTTATCTTATTTACTAGGGTCAATTGTAATTGCATGACTAATGATAACTTTTGATTGAATAATAGTGGACTATTTGGCTTGTTTCAGTTATTGAAGAGTTGGCTGTGTTTTTAAAACCGAATAAGGAGAAATACGCTTCGTGCCTTACTTTAGATATTAAATTTGATGTGTTTGATATATTCACCAAGCAAAGAAATGGACTACTCACAAAAATGGCATTTGAGGTGTACGAACTTCAATCCAGTAAAGAGATGTTTGTGGAAAGAATAAACAGTTTTATACAAAACCGACAGTACAAAGAGGTATGAATAGTTTACAGTCAAACCTTGATACAATAAACCTGAAGGGACCGAACAATTATCTTTTTGTTATGTAATGATTTCACACCCTTGACAGCTAATAAAGAATTAAGAGTGTTCAGTCTCATTGGTGTATTTTGTGAATCTTTTTTTTTGGTCACATTAGACTTAAATAGAGGGTGGAAGAAATATGTATAGGCCTAAAGATAACTTTTCCGAATATGGAGTGAATTGTGCTTTAAAGGGTATCTGCTTTACGCTAAATTTGATAAACGGTTTAAACTGGTGGAAAAATTTTTACCATATTTTTAAAATTTAAAGACCTTATCATATTGTTATTACACATTTTTTAAATATTATAAAAGTCAAACTTTTAATGGTTTTACATTTATAAAAGTCACTAATAAGATTTGTTTGGTTGTAGGCATGCCAGACGGCGATGTACCTGGGACTCGACCAGTTCGGCATAGAGGACTTTGTTGTGCCGCTGTTGTTCCAAGACAAGTTGACAATCGCTGAGGACTATTTGCGTATTAGTCCTGCCGCGCAGACAGCCACAGCTCAGTATCTCGATCAACTGCTGCAGGGTCGAGTCAACGAGAAGATCATGGATGTTATTAGGTAAGCTCAGCTGTTTGTTATTCATCACCGCAAGTACTTTTGTTTATTTCATTCTGATTGGTTAATAAATCAAATTAATTGAAAGAAATTTTTTCCCATGAAGTAACATTTTTTTTTGTCCACCGTATAACATTATCAAGCATACCATTATAACAATTGTGTAAAATTTGTGACACTTAATATGATACATTTCCAAAACACTTGCTTGCAATTTCAACATAATATGATTGTGTATAATGGTGGTTAAAGATCATATAGGCTAAATTATAATGACACAATGTTGACAAGCCAAAAACATTCCTTTATGCAAACAAAGTCAGGAGGTAATAAATAAATTTATTCAGTAGTGTATCACTATTGATAAGTAGATAGATCATCACTTAGATATATCATTATTTTACCAAAAGATATAAAAATGAATTTCATAGCAGACAATTTTATTGTAGTTATTTTACTCCTATGAGGAATTTTAAAATTTATAATATTGTGAATAGACTATATGTCCCATTTCTCACTTACTCTATTCATTGTACTTGTATATTTATGGATAAAGGTGATTTTGATTTGATTTAATTTAATTTAGATAATGGACTCTGATGTTTGCTGTGAAACCTGAATTTTTTCATCTCTGAAATTTGGTAGTTAATATTCCAGTCATTGTTAATTGAATTGGTTATCATGTAGCTGATTCAATGACATTAGGCCTGCTCTCACACAAATATATCCTATCAAATAGGGTTTGACCACAGAGTGTATGATCTGCAGCGTTGTCGATACCTTACAATCATAATCACAAATTTTAAACGTTGTACTTGTAGCTTATGAGATTTATAATTAATTAAGTTAATTTTTGTATGAAACTATTTTTGAATATTCATAGGCGAAGGACCAGTCCCTGGTGTTAGGACAAATGAGAAAAACATAAATGAAACAGTACTATCTTATTAGTCAACTGATTCACACCAAGATGTTGACGCACAAGGTATATATTTTATCATATTTTTGATTTTATATCCCAGTTTTCATTTGATATTTTGGTGTGGCGAATAATAGCTGTATTACATCAGAGGAACTGTTTTGATTTTTCGAACCTTAAGAGTCTTCCTTAGTGGTAGCCATGTTGGATTTCTTCCCCATAAGAACAATGTTAAACATTACATCATTTGTGGACACGTAACGGCGTTATTTGTTAAGATATAGCTTTGAAATTTATAATTTGTATTTTTAACATAATAGACTAGTGACTGAGGTTTTTGAATTTCGAAAATCCATTTTCATTTCCTTTCAATAATTAGCTTAATTTTAAGCTAATTAATAATCAATTATTCATTATAAAAATTAAAAATTGTGAAATAAAAAACGTCAATCTCTAGAGGACCGCAATTCCTTAAATTTAACTCCTTATCCATAATTATATGACAATTTGCTGATGAGATATTTGGACCCAAAGTTAACATTGTTCTTATGGGGAAGAAATCCAACATGGCTTCCACTAAGGAAGACTCTTAAACTGTAGCTTTTAACTAACTGTTGGTGTTACAGACAGCTGAATATCCCAGAACCAAAACAAGAAAAGCTGCAGTACAAACCCATGTCAAAGCTATTGGCGAGGTTTTTGAAAATATTCAATATTCATCCTAGTAGCTGCCCAAACCTGACTCGCAAGAAAAGAGAGGGAGCTTTGCATTTTGTGATTTGTAAACGCTACAAGTACAATGAAATCGGTGGGTATTTTAAAATATCCTTTCAACCGCTTTTATGTTGGTTTTGATTTTTGATTATAAGTTGTGTTTTTTGGTCTATGAGATGACTTTGATGCTGCTAGTCAAGTTGCTAGTTGGTTATGTTCAAAGAGCTATCTACAGTAAGGTTAATGTAGATTATTTATTTTCTTGTTGGCCACACAATCTGAGCGGTTTATTTTTGTTTATTCTTACCTTGTAAAATCAATTAGGTACCACAGTATTGTGAGTATAATCTTTAACAACTTATCACTCAACTGCTTTTGATTGAGCTCCTCTATTGTTTTATATTTTAAAAGTGATTTTTTTTTTAAATTTTAAGAACCTACATAGGCCTACAATATTTTTTACAAACAATTCAGCATGTAGAACAATGAATTTAGGTTTAGCTTTAGCTCAAACAAACGGAACATGTAAAGGAAACAGAAAAATGGAAAAGTCTGATAAACCTCATGAAACCCCGGCTTGCAAGTTGTAGTCAAAGTTATGATTTGCCTGTACAGAGGGTGAGTGTTGGAGGGAGATGGTGTCAGAGGCAGTATGTGGAGACTCGTATCTGGAGGAGGAGTTAGTCGCTGCAATCAATCTGCACGGAGACGTTGTGGAGGCTGCATTCTTTGCTCGCAAGTTGTAGTTGTTATAGTTATTATTTGCCTGTTCAGAGGGTGAGTGTTGGAGGGAGATGGTGTCAGAGGCAGTATGTGGAGACTCGTATCTGGAGGTGGAGACTCGTATCTGGAGGAGGAGCTAGTCGCTGCAATCAATCTGCACGGAGACGTTGTGGAGGCTGCATTCTTTGCTCGCAAGTTGTAGTTGTTATAGTTATTATTTGCCTGTTCAGAGGGTGAGTGTTGGAGGGAGATGGTGTCAGAGGCAGTATGTGGAGACTCGTATCTGGAGGTGGAGACTCGTATCTGGAGGAGGAGCTAGTCGCTGCAATCAATCTGCACGGAGACGTTGTGGAGGCTGCATTCTTTGCTCGCAAGTTGTAGTTGTTATAGTTATTATTTGCCTGTTCAGAGGGTGAGTGTTGGAGAGAGATGGTGTCAGAGGCAGTATGTGGAGACTCGTATCTGGAGGTGGAGACTCGTATCTGGAGGTGGAGACTCGTATCTGGAGGAGGAGCTAGTCGCTGCAATCAATCTGCACGGAGACGTTGTGGAGGCTGCATTCTTTGCTCGCAAGTTGTAGTTGTTATAGTTATGATTTGCCTGTTCAGAGGGTGAGTGTTGGAGGGAGATGGTGTCAGAGGCAGTATGTGGAGACTCGTATCTGGAGGAGGAGCTAGTCGCTGCAATCAATCTGCACGGAGACGTTGTGGAGGCTGCATTCTTTGCTCGCAAGTTGTAGTTGTTATAGTTATGATTTGCCTGTTCAGAGGGTGAGTGTTGGAGGGAGATGGTGTCAGAGGCAGTATGTGGAGACTCATATCTGGAGGAGGAGCTAGTCGCTGCAATCAATCTGCACGGAGACGTTGTGGAGGCTGCATTCTTTGCTCGCAAGTTCAACATTCCTGCACACAAGCTGCCTTACAATGTAGTGACATACCTCAGGACTGGCACTTTGTAAGTACCAGTGTTCTCTATCTTTTAACATGAAATTTGTTTTGCAATCTTTATGTTTAATCTTATTTTTTAAAATCTCATGTAAGTAGGGATGTGACGATTGTTGATACTGATTTTAGATACCACTGATTCTTGAACATTAGTATCATTATCGAGGTGTGTTGAGGATCTCGCATTTGGTTCTCCTTCTGAGGAGCTTTGGCTACCCACAAATCATAAATAGCATTTTGCATTTGGCCCTTGTGATTATTTTTTTGTAGTACATAAATCTAATGAATAAATAGCTGTATTAAATAAAATAATTAATCCTGGAGTTAATTGAAATGTACTATGTTCATCTTGGATAAAAATGATCTAAATCTAAAAATACAAACACAATAGGCAAGGCCTTGCACAAAAACTGTCTGTAAATAATATGTGTTCCTTTTATGGTAAATGTACCAATTTGGAATCTAGTGTTGCATTAGATAAAAAAGGCTAACTTTCTGTCCAAACTTGGAACTTGCAGTATTTTTAAACTCATTCATCTATCAATAAAACGAGAAATTGCAATGGTTATACTATTCTACTTTTATCACTACTAGTACGCTCAGTAGTTTGTGAACCAGCATCATCGGGCTATGGGAATGGTGTTTTATGGGGGTAGAGCTATCATTTTGTAGAGCTAAACAAATGTTGTAAATTGATGTGTTGTTGTTACTATGCAATATGGTTATGGAGAAAAGTTCAAAATACGGTAAGTTTAAAATTTTCATGCTATTCTTATGGAGATTAAGTAAACTGTTGTAGTTTGCTTGTTTATAAATGGATTTTGAACAAATTTGGCATTTTTTATATCTCATAGCACACTACTAACATTGCTGCTGCAGGGGTTTTATTTTAGTGATAACGTGACCCTCTAGGCTTAGCCTGAAGTAATGTGACAATGGTTGTGGAGCCTAGCACCCTTAGAATGAAGGGGGCAACGTCGTTACTTAAGATTAACAATGTGATGTTTGTCAGAGAGTACCACTACTCGCCGCCACGAGTGACTGTGCCGAGGAAGGTGCTGCAGTTACCAGAGAGTCACATAGTTATGATGGTGGACACAGATGAGTCACTAGCCCGCTGTGTGGAGGCTGTGTCCAACACTCACGTCGTGGGGCTGGATGCTGAGTGGAAGCCTGCATTCTGCTCTGAAACTGAGGCACTCTCACTACTGCAGGTTAGACGTTCCAGTCCAATGTGTTGTTGTCAGTTTTAAAATGCCACCTGACAGATTATGTTGATGTCCATAATCATCCATAATGATTTCTGTTGTGTCAACATTGCTGATTTCTGTTGTGTCAACATTGCCAATTTATCAAATCAACAATGCACTTTACAATTTTAATGCAGAGTTCATACGTAACTTTGTATTTTCATTTTATTTGTAAAAATACACAAGCAGATTTTGTAAGATTTTGTTAGTGAACGGTCCAAACCCTGATCATGTTACTATCTAACGTCGACCTTTTGTTTGGTATAATAATTAAGCCCTGGTCCAGAAATGATATCGCTGTGAATCAAACCAGCTCAGATTTGAAGGCGAGCACTATAACATACCCGGCTTCTCAGACGATTTCATAGTCTCAATTAAACACAATGTTGCTTAAATAATGGGACTTATAATGGCACCTTAGTTTGAAATATATTATACTACATATCCCTTAAATATTTTTGCCAAAGTTAATTTAATTCTTCACATAGATAACTGTGAGTTGCATACTAAATGTGAACATGATTCGACAGGTGGCCACTCACGAGGAGACATTCCTGGTGGATGTCCCGGCTCTACAACACAGTCCTGTGTGGAAAGACCTCAGCCAGGGGCTGTTCTTGAATCCAGACATTTTAAAGTTGGGTAAGTAGTTGGAATCATGCTTTAGCAAATTAATTTTCTTCATACTGCAGCCAAACGGCTGTTATCAGTATGTGAGTTATTGGGCTAAAATAGCTCTTTTCTCCCTAGGGCAAAAATAATCAGGTTGAGTTGAGGATATCAGCAGTTCAGTTTTCTGTAAAGTTTGCCCACTGATTTTGCCCATTTTGAAATGGGTACAATTGACAAATTAGTTTAATTCTCTTTTTAAATCTGTGAATGAATGAGTTTGGTACTCTCTTATTATATTTTAACGATAGTTGATTAGGAACTAAGTTTATTAATGATTATCATTTTTCAATACACTAAATTAATTAATTAAAATAGTTTAAGAAGTAAGGATTCCATGGCCACTAGCCATTAACCAACACTGTAAACTAGGATTTCTGGTTACAACTATAACTTATTTCTTAATTCTGTGACATGGCCGTACCCAGAAAACCTAGTTTGTAGACAACTAGGCAAGGCATGGATCATGAACGCAGGCTTTTCTAAATTGAAATCACTGTTCAGTGTTGCTTAGAATATGCAACTTTTAGATTTATGTAAATTGTGGGATGTTTCCAAATAATTCTTTTATTTCTAGGTTTTGGACTATCAGTTGACTTGTTGAAGCTGAAAGAGAGCATAAACATGAATGATGTTAAGATGGCAGGATTAGGTTTCCTAGATTTGAACCTCTTATGGAAAAAATTGATGAGGGAATTCAATATTACACTACCATTCAAAGGTAACGTAAAGAACTGTTGTATCAGTAAGTTGTGTCACTCTGGAGTCATCAATATTCAAGATGTATTTTCAACTTGCTTATTTGCACACGGTGGAATAGCATCCAATTTCTAATTTTGAATGCACCAAGTTCTTAAGGCATCCATCTATTGTCAAGTCAATCAAGAACAAATCGCCACTGTTTAAATCTTGTCTACATTTAGTTTTCGGTTAATAACCAACAAGAAACCATTATTACCTTTTTAAATTTTTTAAATTTATTGAACACTTTTGAATTCTTTGCTTGTCTTCCATTTTTATTCGTATATTGTAAGGTAATGTTTATCATGTTGTATTTGGAACATTTCTGTATTAGCAAAAATGATTTACTTTTCTCAACAAAATTCCCGATAATCGACAATAATAAATGTTAATAATTTATCGTTATACCCGTTAGGGGTGGACAACTATTCAGTACAACAAACGCTACATGGTCATTAACATCTACTATTACTCGTATAATCACTTTAACGTCTAAAAAATATCACTAAAACAGTTAGTTTCTTACTCTCTACAACATTAGAGACATGTTCCAGGTGAGGAAAGTGACACGGTGGAGGGTCTGTCAAAACTGGTCTCATTGTGTGTGGGTTTGCCATTGGACAAGTCTGAGCAGTTCTCCAACTGGGACCGCCGGCCTTTGAGGGATGCCCAGAGGAACTATGCAGGTAAAAATATCCCTACCAACCTCAGGTAAACTATTTAGTAAAGCTTAACCGGAAATAAATAGACACATCAAGTTCTATAACTAAATTGTTTATATACATAATTCAATTATTTTAACCTTTTTAGACACTGTAACCTGTTTCACTGATCAATACATTTTTTAACCTAAAAAATATCCTATGAAATAATTTAATAGTAGAGTGGATATAGTGATCGCGTAGTAATCAGAAGATTGCTGGTTCGATCCTGAGAAAGATCAGTAGCTTTTTGGTGGTTCATAATTGAACCCAGCTGTCCTTTATTATCGTGCTTTTAATGGTCCTTGCTAAAAAAAACCAGCTGATTAAGATCAGCATCAAAGCTATCAGCTCATTTATTAAACACTTAACTTCAACCCATCTTCCGGTTGAATAAAATACTGACAGTGATTCTAAATATTGCTGGATCAATTTCGAGTGGGACCGAATCTAGACCTAGTTGTTATTTGTTCAAGCCCCAACAAACCTTTTAATAACATTGTACACATTGTAATAAGGTTGGTTAACCTTTTCTTTTGGACTGTTAATTAATGATGCTATCTAACAAAAGATCAGGTAGAAAAAAAGATCAGGGTTTGGTCCATCCGTTACGAAATATGTGAAAAAACCTGCTGTATAAAACTCAAATCTAATCTCAAGTACGCTGTTTTCTATCCATATTTGTTCTATCCATGTCCAAAAGTTCTAATATTGTTTTAGAACAGGAACTTATTGAATAGAGAGGTAGAAAGATCTAAACATCACATACTATATGTTGCAGCTTTAGATGCCTATTGCCTGATTATTGTTTATGAAGTGTTGGCCCATGAGTGCATCAATCAAGGAGTACCATTCCAGGATGTTTGTCAAGATCTTATGATAGCTGGAGCTAACGTCACCAAAAAACCTAAGAAGAAACCATTACCGTCTCGTAAGGTATGAGCGATTTGTTCAAGTTATAAATGCACATCGGTGTTGGAAAGTACAAACTATTTAATGTTGTTAAATATGTGTAATTACCATCAGTTTGTTGTATTTTTACGAATATATTTGTTTTCTATGTTGACTTAAAATAATTAATGATAAACCCCACCAAAAGTTAATCTAAATGGGAAGTTTAGATGTTGGTTTTGATTTGAAATTGCTTCAACCAGTAGTTTTATATAATTAATTTTACTATTGATGTAAAACAATTTTTCTGAACTAATCAACAAACTTAATCAAATTTATCTCATCGTAAAATTAATTGATATTGCTATCAGCTATGCAATCAAAACATAAGATAGCTCAAGTCCAATATCAATGTAGTTCAAGTTCTGAAATTATGGTGTCTTCATTTGTTTTGCTGCATTATAACTGTAAAGTTAAATCTAATTTGTTTATGTGTTGTTTTTAAATAGTGTTTAGTTACGGTAATTCTTTTTCAATCAAATACAAATACTCTTATATAAAGTCAAGTGGGACAAGTGTGTTCGCTGACCACCAACTTTTTGTTTTAACTTTAAAAATATGAAAGTTATCACAAAACCTTAATGGTTTCATTGTTTGCAAAATTTAAGTTTAAAACTAGAAAAAAACTAAAATTATAAATTTTATGGACAAAATTCAAAACATGCCATTTTTAAACAATAGACAAATACCTAAAAAAGACTCGGAGGTAAGTGTTTGAGAATATCTCAAAATCGTCTCCAAATGGTGATGTTTTTAATGTGTTGAACTAAATATATATATTTTTTCCGTAAGTTTGTATTGTTGTGTATTATCTTGTGTCCAACCTTTTATATTCTATTTTAACAGGTTAAAGCATCAATTCAAATAAAAAATAAAAGACAATCATGTTTATTAGCACATGAACGTATAGAGGTTACAGATAAATGTACAGGTGCTTCGTCATTCTTCTTATAGCCTAATCTTAATAATGTCCTTTGTTAAAATGAAATAACTGTCTTAAAAGGTATTTAGTAATAATAAACAAAATACTTGTTTTACTTGCTTTATTGTTATTGTATGACAAATGGAAATATAGCAAGAATGTAAATGATAGGAACAATTTTAAAAGGTACAAAAGCATGTATACAAACAAGATAAGAGAAGGCAAAATCACTGCTAATGACAAACTAATTGCTCAATCCAAAAATACATGTAAAAAAGCTTGGGAAAGAATCAGGACAGATTAAAACATTTTCCAAAACAACTTTAACACCTAACACTCTAAACAATTTCTTTACTTCTGTTTCAAACAACACACAAAATAAACTCTATAATGATGATAATGTAATTACTCATCTTGAATTGTTGAGTAACTGCCCTAAGCCATATTCTAATATTCCTGACATCCAGATATTTAAATGGACCCTTGTTGATAAACATAAAGTGCATTCTTTTGTCTGTAAACTTAGTGGTTCCCGTAGTGAAGATTTGTTTGGACTCTCCAATTTTACTCTTAAATACATAGTTAATTTTATCCTGGAACCTTTAACACATCTTATAAATTTCGCTTTAATTGAAGGAAAGTTTCCTGATTGTTTAAAAACCTCCAGAGTAACGCCAATTCACAAGAAAGGCGACAAGAATGTCCCATCAAACTATCGTCCAATAGCTTTGGTTCCAATTTTAGGAAAAATAATTGAATCATGTATGCTTGAGCAGCTTCAACACTTTTTTTACTGTTAATAACCTTTTATATAAACGTCAATACGGCTTTAGAGCCAACTGTTCAACCACAATGGCTGTAGAAGAATAAATTAACCAAGTTTTGCAAGGGTTTGAAGACAAGTTGGTGACAGGTACATGCCTTATTGATTTGACCAAGGCCTTCGACACAATCTCCCATCCCATTCTTCTTGAAAAACTATATTACTATGGCGTTAGGAACCGTGAACTCAACATCATTCAATCCTACCTGGAAAACCGTAAACAGCAGGTCGTGATAGGAGATGATTATTATGATATTTTAGAATTGAATGCTGGTGTTCCGCAGGGGTCCATTTTAGGTCCTTTCCTGTTTTTTATTTTTATTAACGACTTTAGTTTTAATATCCCTACTCAATCAATACTTTATGCTGATGATACTACCCTGTTCTGTAAAGATGATAATGTTTTAACAGTTGAGTACGATCTTAATCATGCCCTAAACTGTGCTAAATTCTGGTATAAAATCAATAATTTGGCTATCAATGAGGAAAAAACAGAATACATCTACTTTTCACTAAAAAAAGATCAACCCACTGATGCTTATTAAACAGTCAAACTCTTAGGGATCCATCTTGACAACAGACTAAGCTGGAATAACCACATTACACAACTTTGTAAAAGATTGGCTAGAATAACCTGTCTCTTGGGAAAACTTAGATCATGTGTGAGTTTGAACACTCTAAAAATGACTTACTACGGTTTGTTTCACTCACAGCTGCTTTATGGTTTGCGTCTCTGGGGTGGTTCACACTTAGCTCAGAAAGCATTTGTTTGGCAAAAGAAAGCTCTTAGAGCCATGCTAGGATTGCAAGATCATGAATCCTGTAGGGATCACTTTTCCATTTTAAATTTGCTTACACTGCCATCTATGTACATTCTTTGTAATTTAATTCATATAAAAAACAACCCCTTAAAATTTTCTAGCTATTCTCATCCATACAACACGAGGCACAAAAACAACCTAGTCACACCTCAAATCAGACTTTCAAAAACTTTAAATAGCCATTTTTACATCCAACATATTTTCTTCAACAAGCTACCCACTTGTTTTTCGTAAACTACCTCTAAACCAATTTAAAAGAAAAATTGCTGAGTTTTTAAAATCAAAAGCATTCTACACGCAGGAAGAATTTTTAAATAGAGAAATATCATGTTTAGATTCTAAATAGGATATTGTATGTATTGAAATTTATAATTGATGTATGATCTATTTTTAAGTACTATTGTAACAATGCCTATTACAAAATGTTATGTTTAATGGCTGCAATAAATCTTATTGAATCTTATAGGCTGTGAATACAACCGTATTCATTGCTAGCTATAGGTTTAAATGTTGTACAAGAGAATTTGGTCATATGTATATACTAGCTGTAACCCGCGGGCTTTGCCCCGTTTAACTTCTTAATTTTCAAGATTATCTCGTTCGCATGGCTCAATCACGTCCTGGTTGAAGTTTGTTCGCTACGCTCACTCACCTATAGGTTGAAGTTTGTTCGCTACGCTCACTCACCTATAGGTTGGAGCTCGTTCGCTACGCTCACTCACCTTTAGGTTGGAGCTCGTTCGCTGCGCTCACTTGCCTTCAGGTTAGCTCGTTCGCTACACTAACTCGCCTCTAGGTTGAAGTTCGTTCGCTACGCTCACTCACCTTTTGGTTGCAAATTAGCTGTTGTCATAAATGTAAAAGAAATAATAGTGCTGCACCCTGTTGGTAATCCTTGTGACTTTAATGCTATTGAACATCATAGAGCAGAACCAACTTGTTTAATTGAAACAGCTGTTAAGATTCAATAATTCCATTTCTCATAAGGTTAACATGGGAAACTCCAGAGCCACTGGGGCGGAGCCCGAAAGGATTTTTGAAATAAGAATATGCCTATATGTTAATCGGGAATGTGAGCTATCATCATGCCAAATTTCAGCCCAATCCGACCAGTATTTTTCGCGTTCACTTGTCACAAACATACATCCATACATCCATCCATACATCCAAACTTTCTCATTTATAATATTAGTAGGATTAATTTGAATAAATCTAAGGGTGCGTACACAAAGAACGCCGGTTGCCGGCGCCGGCAAACCGGCAGCTTGCTCCTCGTGCTTATAAGCGCGGCAAAAGCTTGGAAGCCGTACACAAAGAAAGCTGGTTACAAGCGCGACAAGTCAGTTCACATTGAGCAGTGTCAGATGTCTTCGTCTAGTGATGATGTGTTTTGGCGGAGAGTGTTCATGTAAAATTATTGCAAAGGAGGAAAGTCGGTGTTCATGTTATTAATAGACAAAGAAACTTGGTGAATACCATCACTTGTTTCCGCAACTAAAAGGTGACCCACAACGGTTCTACACATACACGAGAATGGAGCTAGCGACTTTCGATTACATATTAAGAAACATTGAAGGACGTTTAGTTAAAAAATCGCCTTCTTTTGATAAACTTTGGAAATTAAATCATCTGTATCAACCATCGCGCTATGACACCCACCAACTGCACAGTACATAGACCACTCGCGGACTGAGCCGGTTGCCGGAACCGGCTTATAAGAATGTTCTCTTCATACTTGTTTGCCGGTTGACGCCGGCAGCTCGCGCTTGTTGCGCTTGTTGAGCCGGCACCGGCGTTTACTGTGTACGGGCACACTTGAAACCATGTTAAATTCTTCTCGAGCCGGGACGCGCTTACAGCGGCCGGTTTGCCGGCGCCGGCAACCGGCGTTCTTTGTGTACGCACCCTAATAACAAAAATAATATTAATACACCATGAAACTATTGATCACGTTTCTTAGATGACTAACTTACCAACATATTATTATGTTTCTGTCTGTTGTCAATTATTGTTAGTTTCATTAATTTTCTGCCTAAATTTATATAAATTTTACTCATAATTTTGTTTTTATTCGAAGTGCTTTTGACAAAATTAAAATAAGCTTAAACCCCTCTTTTTTGTTTCAAAACTGCTAAATTTTGCCCCGGACCCCGCCCCCCCTTGTTTGCTGAGGGTATTCCGCACCCTCAGTGTTTGACCCCCCAAGGATTTGGTGAAATGACACCACTGATTGAACAATTCAATTGTTGTGTTGTTGATTGTTCAATTGTTTGAACGGGAGCTCAGGTTTCAAGGATGTGTGTTTGAATAGTAGCTTTGCCTGGTAGGAAAGACGCCATCCTGCAACTAGTCAATCAATAGAAGGAGTTTAAAATATCCTTCTTGAACCTTTGTGGGTTGTAAATAACGATGTCAGTGA